CAAGTGTCTTAGCCACTATGCTACCAGAGCTCATAGGGACATTTTTATAGCACATATAAATACATATGTAGGAATATTATCTGTCAAGCCTATGTATGGTCATGGGTATACTCCCATTTGCCTATCCATACCTGTCTATCCACGTATCCATCCATAGATTAGTGCTTGCTATTACTGATAATGCAGTACTGTGTCTGCAACAGTATGTGTCTTTATTGTCTATACCTTTTGTGCACCTCTCCATGTCATCCTTTTCCTTGGTTATATTATGCTAGTCATGTGCTTTTGTTATATTGATTTTCCCTTCACCCATATGAAACCTGTCTCTTAATTATCCATTTCCCCTCCCCTTCCTGTTCCCTTCCATCCCTGACAACCAACAAAGAAAATTTTCTTCCCTTTGTAAACCTTTCCTTGACTTTTTACACTAATAGATTCATACAGTACTTGTCCTTCTGTGATTGACTTATTTCACACAGCATAATGTCCTCCAAGTTCATCCATGTTATGTGGTGTTTTGCGTATTCTACATTATTCTTTAGTGTTGCATAGTATTCCATTGTGTGTATGTATGTACCATAGTTTGCTTATCCATTCTTCTGTTGATGGGCACCTAGGTTGTTTCCATCTTTTTTGCTATTGTAAATAGTGCTACAATGAATACAGGTGTGCATATGTCTATATGTGTCCTGGATCTCACCTATTTAGAATATATTCCTAGTAATGGGATTGCTGATCAAATGATATTTCTATTTCCAATTTTTTAAGGAAGTGCCATACCATTTTCCCCAGTGGTTGTACCATCTACCAGCACTATATGAGAGTTCCAACCTCTCCACACCCTCAATAGCATTTGTTGTTTTCTCTCTTGTTAAGCATTTCTATTATTGCTGAGGTAAGATGATATTTCATTGCTGTTTTGCTTTGTATCTCTGTAATTGCTAATGATCACAATCATTTCTTCATGTGTTTGCTGGCTCCCTGAATATCTTTGGTGAGGTGTCTGTTCATGTCCTTTGCTCATTTTTTAAGTGGATTGTCTTTTTCACTTTGAGGCGGTGTTTTCCGTAAATTTTAGAGATAAGTCCTTTGTCAGATGTGTCATTGCCAAATATTTTTTCCCAGTCTGCAAGTTCTCTTTTTATTCTTTTGGAGAAGTATTTTGATGCACATAAGAATTTAATTGTTAGAAGGTTCCAGTCATCTACTTTCTCTTCTCCTATTTGTATACTTTGGGTTATGCTTGATAGTCTATTTATGCCATAAATTAGGGCCCCTAAATTTGCTCCTATTTTATCTCTGATGAGTTTTATAGTTCTGGGTTTTAGGTTTAGGTCCTCGGTCCATTTTGACTTAGTTTTTGTTTATAGTGTTATGTATGGATGTTGTTTCATTTTTTGGCAAATGGATATCCAGTTT